GGGGCTGTGCAGGGGGCAGGGTGGGGGTGGGATGGGGGGAGGGTCCTTGGCCGCCGATGGGCGGGGAGTGTGCTGGGGCACCTGGGCTTGAACTTTCTCCTACCCCCACCTGGGCTTTTAGTTCTGGCCTTCAAAGAGAACTTGATTCTCCTCTTCAACCATTTCGTAGCCTTTGGGGTCTTGAGGACCCGAGCTGTTTCTGTTAACTTTTCAAACAGTTTCAGTAAAAAAGGAGAGTAATGTAGGTCACATACGTTGGAAGCTGAGATGTTTTTCTCCTACCATGTGATTGTTGTTTTTGTGTGTCCCGGAGTCAATTCAATTCCGACTCATAGCAACCCTATAGGACAGTAGAGCTGCCAAACTGAGTTTCCTAGATAAAAAGTAAAGATATCACTTTGAGGACTGAAGTGCGCCTGACCCAAGCCATGGTAGTTTCAATCATCTCATATGCATGCGAAAGCTGGGCAATGAATAAGGAAGACCTAAGAAGAATGGATGCCTTTGAATTATGGTGTTGGTGAAGAATATTGAATATACCATGGCCTGCCAGAAGGACAAACAAATATATCTTGGAAGAAGTACAGCCAGAATGCTCCTTAGAAGCCAGGATGGCAAGACTTCCTGTCACATACTTTGGGCATGGATCAGTCCCTGGAGAAGGACATTATGCTTGGTTAAGTAGAGGGTCAGCGGAAAAAGAGGAGGAGCCTCAACAAGACGGATTGACACGATGGCTGCAACAATGGGCTCAAGCATGACAAGATCATAAGGATGGGGCAGGACGAGGCAATGTTTTGTTCTGTTGTACATAGGGTCGCTATGAGTTGGAATTGGCTTGATGGCACCTAACAACAGCATTGCCAATGATGTCTCCATAAGTAAATCCAATGAGTGTGTCTCAGGCTTTTACTCGGATACAAAAAGTTGAACCATGACCTACTTCTGGGATGTAACATTTTCCTAGGCTTCTCTGATAGGTCATTCTCTGTCTTCAAACTACTCTGGTCATTCTTTCTCTATGTCTTCTGCAAATAATTTTTCAAAGAAAATGATTGGAACGTCTCAAAATGCGCTCCCCAGTCCCTCTTCGTCCCTTGTCTACACACTTTCCTGGCACTCTCACACATTTCTTCAGTAGCTTCAAATTCTTCCATTGCTCTCTCTAAATCAAAAGTGATAAAACTCTTATTTATATGTTATTTCTGAGCTATTACCTCTACTCACAAACTTACATGCACCTGCTTTAGTTAACTAGAGCTGCTGTAACAGAAATAGCACAAGTGGATGGTTGAAAAGAACAAAAATTCATTTTTTTTTCATAGTTTAGGAGGCTAGAGGTCTAAATTACGAGCAAAGAGTCTAGGGGAAGGCTCTCTCTCTGTCTGCTATGGGAGAAAATCTTTGTCTTTTTCAGCTTCTGTTCCTCGGTTCCTTGGAGATCTCCAGGTCGCCTGTATGTTTCCCCCATTCGCCGGTGCTTGCTTTCTGTGTTTAACTGCTCTTTTTATACCTCAGAAGTAATTTGGTTTTAGACACACCCTACACAGATATGACCTCATTAACATAACAAAGAAAACACTATTCCCAAAGGGGATTACATCCACAGGTATAGAGGTTAGGATTCCAACACATACTTTTGGGGGACACAATTCAATCCATCACAGCACCTAAAATGAAATACATCTCAGGACATTCATTACATCTTCCCCTAGAAAATATAAAAATTGCACCTCCTCTACTATCCAGTCGTAGTTATTGGATCCATCAAGCAACCAAAGATTGATCTTTTTCATGCTCTGACAGAACCCCCCCCCCCACACGCACACACACACACCAACACAGATAAACTTTGCTAAACATTTTCTCTACACTGAGGACTATTGTTATCCTTCATTTCCACCCCAATTCACAGACACACACTTTCCTACTTTATACTAATTTTTCTGTCTCAGTTTAAATGTCTGTTCCTCAGAGATCACATCACTGAACAACAATTGTTAGCCTTTCTCTTCATCTCTCTTTGACTTAGTTATAACTCTAATATTCCTTTGGGTCTCCCTGGGTAGTGCAAAAGGTTAAGCACTGGACTACTAGCTGAAAGGCTGGCAGTTCAAACACACCCAGAGGCGCCTTAGAAGACAGACCTGGCAATCTGCTTTGGAAAGGTCACAGCCTTTGGAGCACTTCCGCTCTACACCCATGAAGTCACCATCGGTTAGAATCAGCGCAATGGCAACTAACAACAACTATTCCTTTAGGCCACACATCCTGTTTGTCATTACACATTTATTTTTTTATTTTATTTTATTTTTTATTGTACTTTAGATGAAGGTTATAGAAGAAACAGTTTCTCATTAAACAGTTAGTACACATATTGTTTTATGACAATGGTTACAACCCCACCACATGTTAACACTGTCCTTTCTCAACCTTGGGTTCCCGATTACCAGCTTTCCCGTCCCCTTCTGCGTTTTAGTCCTTGTCCCTGGACTGTTGTGCCCCATTAGTCTCATTTTGTTTTATGGGGCTGTCTAATGTTTGGCTGAAGGGCGAACCTCAGGAGTGACTTCATTACTGAGCTAAAAGGGTGTCCGGTGGCCAAAGTCTCCAGGTTTCTCCAGTCTCTGTCAGACTAGTAAGTCTGGTCTTTTTTTGTGAGTTAGAATTTTGTTCTACATTTTTCTCCAGCTGTGTCTGGGACCCTCTGTAGTGATCCCTGTCAGAGCAGTCGGTGGTGGTAGCTGGGCACCATCTAGTTGTACTGGACTCAGTCTGGTGAAGGCCGTGGTAGCTGTGGTCCATTAGTCCTTTGGACTAATCTTTCCCTTGTATCTTGTTTTCTTCATTCTTCTTTGTTCCCGAAAGGGTGAGACCAGTGGCGTATCTTAGATGGCTGCTCACAGGCTTTTAAGACCCCAGACACTACTCACCAAGGTAGAATGTAGAACATTTTGTTTATAAACTGTGTTATGCCAATTGAACTAGATATTCCCCAAGACCATGGTCCCCACAGTCCTCCGCACAGCAATTCAGTCCCTCAGTGAGTCTGGATGTGTCTACGGAGCTTCCATGACCTTTCCTTGTACAAGTTGTGCTGGCTTCCCCAGTATTGTGTATTGTCTTACCTTTCACCAAAGTTACCACTTACCTATTGTCTGTTTAGTATTCCCTCCGCACCCCTCCTATCCCTTGTAACCAACAAAGATGGTTTCTTTTTGTCATTACACATTTATTTATTTGCATCTTTATTTATGATCTGTCTCCAACAATGATCTAAATGCAGAAAAATCTATCTCCGAATGCTAAGATGAGACCGATTCCTTTTGACCATGATTTATGCATTTTAATTTAAGAAAATTTCATGTTCATGATCACCTAATCTGTTG